TCTCAAAAAAAAAAAAAAAAGAAATGATATTTGAGCTAAGATCTCAAGGCCGAGTCATAGTTAACTGTGCATATGAAGTGCATACTAGGCTGAATAAACAGCATGGGGAAGGCCCTAGGATAGAAGTGAACACAATTGTTTATCCTGAGAGTAATGAGAAGCCACTAGAAGCTTAAGCACGGGAGAGGCATTCTCAAATTGGTTTTAAAAAAATACTCTGCCGCATGGAAAAGGGGTTAGAGAAGGGCAGATGAGTAGTTTGGAAGAGATTACTAGTAGACCAGGTAAATTATGGTAGCTTGGACAAGAGTGTTATTGATGGAGAGAAGCAGATGAATTTGGGGAGTCATTGCACTGTGCTGAGGGCAAAGTCCACAGAATCTAGAGCACAGGGAATAGAACAATGACGGGCGGAGCTGAGAAAGGGTAGGCATTGGTAAAAATTTGAGACAGTGATATAAGTGGGTATATATGTGTATAAGTATATATACATGTTCATGATACACATATGTATGTGAAAAGACATTGTGGTCATATATAATTTTTATAATTTTATTCATGTAAAAACATATACATAGAAGGGCTACTACATGTGGTGGTGGCTCATGCCTGTAATCCTAGCACCTTGGGAGGCCAAGGCAGGACAATCACTTGACCCATGGGTTTGAGACTGGCCTGGGCAGCATTATGAAATCCCGTCTCTACAAAAAGTACAAAGAATTAGCTGGGTGTAGTGGTGCACACCTGTAGTCCCAGCTACTTGGGAGACTGAGGTGGGAGAATTGCTTGAATCCAGGAGGTCGAGGCTGCAGTGAGCCAAGATTACACCACTGCACTCCAGCCTGGGCAACAGAGTGAGATCCTGTCTCAAAAAATCCCAAAAAAACATATGCACAGATCACAAATGATAACTGTACATCATGTTGGATTTTCAGAGTAACATGTCCATGATAATTTCACCGGGAGTTTTAAAAAATAGAGTATTAATAGCATCCCAAACTCTCTTTGCTCCGTGGCCCTCCCAGCCATTATCCCATTCTCTCCGGTGGTAGCCACTGTGACGTCACATACCTTGGATTAGTTGGGTTTTGGGGGGAACAGGGAGAATGAATGTAGCTTTATTATTGTTTGAGATATGGAACATTAGGAGCACCTCAGAAGCCTCTTTTGTGCCCATTCCCAGTTGTTACCCCTCCCCAAATGTATCTACTGTTCCATCACTGCGTTGAGGCAGGGCCAGACCACCCCATATTCAAGGATTCACTAGAAGGGCTTACAGGATTCGGTATATGGTTGTACTCACAGGGAAGATTTATGGCAGCATTGTAATAAGGACACATATCTGGATCACAGGGGAAAAAGACACAGACACAGTCTGAAGGAATCCATGTATAGGCTTCTCTATGCTCTTTCCTTCCCATGAAGGGTCACCCAGAGCCCATTTTTCCCCGGCAATGGAAATGCAGCACCACATGTGCCGTGTTTCTGTGGCAAGAAGAGCATTAGAGACCTGGTGTCCAAGGCTTTTACTGGGGCCTGATCATATAGGCAGTCTCTATCTGGCATATAATAAAATTCCAGATTCCCAGAAGGGATAGCAGGTGTTCAGCATAAATCATATTGTTTGCACAAACAGTCTAGGCACAGTGTGCTGCATTATCAGTTAGGAAAAGTTTTATTTGTGTGTACAGAACTGTTTACCAACCAAATTCCCAAATACCAGCCCGAGGTCTTTAACAAACAGGCTGTTCTAAGGACAACAGCTTCAGGTCTGCTGTGTTAACTCTTTCTGAACAATCACTATAAATGAGTTTTGCCTGTTCTTGATTTCATATCAAAGGAATCATGTAGTATATACTCCTGACTTCTGCTTAACATTACGTTTGTGAGATTGTAGGTAGTTTGTTCATTCCATAGCCAGGTAGTATTCCATTGAATGAATAGACCACAATTTATCCATCTTGCTGTTGATGAGCATAGTTATTTCACCTTCTCCCCAATATTTGGTATTACCTCTTTTACATTGCAGTGATTCTTGTGGGTATATAGTAATATTTTGTTTTGGTTTTAATTAGTACTTCCCTGAAGGCAAATGAGATTGAGCATCATTTTCATCTATATAATTGGCCATTTGTATAACCTTTTTATTATAAAGTGCCTGTTCGAGGACCCTTGCCTATTTTTGTGTTGGGTTATTTATTTGTAGGAGTTCTTCATATATATTTTGAATGTGAGTCCATTATTAGATATATGTATTGCAAATATCTTACGTTTTGTGGTCTGCCATTTCACTCTTAAATGGATTCTTTTAATGAAGAAAAGTTATTAACTTTACAGTAGCCTAATTTATAAATTTTTCCTCTGTGCTGTCTGTTGCCTTAAGAGATGTTTACCTACTCCGAGGTCATGAAGTTAATCTCCTGTTATCTTTTAGAAGCTTTATTGTTTTACCTTTTATATTTAGATTTACAATCACTTGGAATTTATTTTTGTTCATGGTGTACACGTAGGAGTTAAGATTTATTTTTTTCATGTGGATATTCAACCGACTCAGCCCTATTTATTGAAAAAGAAAAATCCATATTTGCTGCTGTTCAGAGCTACCTTTAAGTATCCATAATGTTTTATTTTGTTTCATTGTTCTGTCCTTGTACCAATACCTCACTGTCATGATAAGCTTTACAATAAGTCTTAATATCTGGTAGTGTAATTCTTTCAACCTCCTTTTTTTTCTTCCTCTCTCACAAGATTATCTTGGCTATTCCTGGTTCTTTATGTATAAAAAGTTTTAGAATAATTTGTCATTTTTTTCTCTTGCTCACTCTCACAAACTTAGTGGGCTTGTGATTTTATTGAATTAGTAAATGGGTTTGGGGATAATTGATATCTTTATAATTCAGTGTGCCAATTCATAAATTTGTATATTCCTCCATTTAAGTTTGCTTTAAAAAAATTATTAGAGGCCGGGCGCGGTGGCTAACGCCTATAATCCCAGCACTTTGGGAGGCCGAGGCGTGCGGATCACGGGGTCAAGAGATCGAGACCATCCTGGCCAACACGTTGAAACCCCGTCTCCATTAAAAATACAAAAAAATTATCTGGGCGTTGTGGCACGTGCCTGTGGTCCTAGCTACTCGGGAGGCTGAGGCGGAAGAATTGCTTGAACCCAGGAGGTGGAGGCTGCAGTGAGCCGAGATTGCGCCACTGCACTCCAGCCTGGTGACAGAGCAACAGAACAACCCACCGTAAAAAAAAAAAAAAAAAAAAAAAAATTATTAGAGGTCTTGCACATCTTTCACTAGATTTAGTCTTAGTTTGTATTGAAACACAGGTGTATTTAATTAGGCTCTCTGCCTGATGCCCATTCTATTCTTGATGAATAAGAGTTGCTGTTGATATCAGAAAGCTGCTTCAACTTAGTTCAGAGGTAGTATGTACAGTATTGCTCTATGTGGAAGGTCTCCAGAGATTTAAGAATTTAACAAACAACCTCTATCAGTTTGGCAAATTGTTTTATAGTGAGTTTTTATACTTAATATTTGGATTTTGAAACATGACATGTTTATAATCATAATGTATAACTGTGTAAAAGTGATTAAAATGTGAACATCTTAGGCATCATTACTGTGAGCAGTAACACTTGTTGGTCAAATGAAATGCTGTACAATTTAGGTGTAGTTTTTAAAGAAATCATAACATTTTACCATGATTTTACATTTTTAGAGTAGAAAGAAGTGTCAGGGGCATGTATGTTGCGGGAGGTGGACAATAGTGTTAAAACAAAAAAAAAATACTGTGATGTAATTAAAAAGGAATATGTTGGGCAGGGCCTGGTGGCTCACACCTGTAATTCCAGCACTTTGGGAGGCCAAGGTGGGCGGATCACCTGAGATCCACAGTTCTAGACCAGCCTGGCCAACGTGGTAAAACCCTGTCTCTACTAAAAATACCAAAATTAGCCTGGCGTGGTGGTGCGCACCTGTAATCCCAGCTCCTCTGGGGGCTTAGGCAGGAAAATCGCTTGAACCTGGGAGGCAGAGGTTGCAGCGAGTGGAGATCACGCTGCACTCTACCCTGGGCAACAGAGCAAGACTCAGTCTCAAAAAAAAAAAAAGTTTGTGACATGGTTCATCCACAGCAGAACTTTTAGTCTTAGAAACTTGAGGAATGAGGGAAAGATCTAGATGTAACTTTATTAAGTTAGTTAACACTTCTATGCCTTGGTTTCTTCATCTGCATAAGGGGGATAATAACAGTACCCATCTTTGGAAAGGACTTAGAACAGTGTCTGGCTCATAATAACTGCTTAGTAAGCATTATTATTAGTTTTTCTGAAAGTATTTAAGCACCAAGAGCGCATGGACTTTGTCTTGTTCCCTGTCTTCAACACTTTCTGTGTATCAGATTGTGTAGACATAGTTCCTGCATTCATTGAGCTTGCAATCTAGTCAACACACATAATTGTAGATAATAAATTGTGTTCATAATAAGGTAAATGAATAAAGCTTTTATGCTTCCCTTAGAAACTAGTTATTTAAAGAACATCTAACTGCTAATTTTCTACAATGACAGTGTTGTTTTGTTTGCTTGTTGAAGATGAAATCCTGAAAGGAGTGTTAGGCTGTTAGCCTTGTGGTTGTGCAACTTTTCTGCTTGTACTACTGATGATTGAATCTTCTCTGATGTCTTGGGACTTGGAAGATGCAGGTTTCAGTTCTAGTTCTGCTACTGATTTTTGTACATGACTCCAAGCAAGTTACTTCTTAACCTTGTCTAATTGAAGTGTTGGTACTAAATGATTTCTAAGATTTTTTCCAACTATTATTTTGTTATTAATCAAATTCTCCAAATTATGTTTTCAGGGAGGGGAGCAGGGAACTGTTGATATTTATGTATGTTTGCCTTAAAACTGAAGGCTGAAATTTAAATGTTGAGCTCATTTTCATAATTGTATTTTGGTTTTATTTACAGATGCCAGAAGTGGGTGGAGAATTGTAGGAGAGCCGACTTAGAAGATAAAACACCTGATCAGCTAAATAAACATTATCGATTATGTGCCAAACATTTTGAGACCTCTATGATCTGTAGAACTGTGAGTAATAGAAGAACTTGGTGTCTCTGTTTGTCTTTTTATTCTCTCTGTCACTCTGTCTGGTTAGAAATGTAAGTATTTATCTACTAATGTTCTAGAGTGTAATTAATGAAGTGTACGATGTGGCGTTTACATAGCATAATAGTTTTTATTGTTTCAGAAAAAGTGGGATTAATATGCTTCTTTTTTAAAAAGGTGAAATTATCAACCCAGCTTAGGTCAGTGACAGGGTTTATGTAAAAAAACAAAACAAAACACTGCCTGAGGTTGCAGTGAGCCAAGATTGAACCACTGCACTCCGACAGAGTGGGACTCCATCTCAAGAAAAAAGAAACACTGCCTTTACTGCCTAAATCTTGATTGCCCCTGGGTGGCTTGCCTAATGCCAAGGCTTGCCACTGTGAGGCAAGATGGGTGAGAGCTTCCACGGTTCTTCTGGCAATTTAATCAAGGCTGATTGAGAGTTGGTGTACTC